CTATAAAAGTAAGCCCAGTAGATTGCATGGTAAATGTCACACACATTTCCCTTCATTAGGATGAAAAATCTGGTCATTTATTGTTTGTCCAGAAGTTCCCTAAACTAAAGCTTCACTTATCCCTTTCTGCATTTAATCCTGTATTGATAATTCTAGTAAGAATCAACTTGGATCAGGTATGTGATAGATGTCTGATAGAACCAGACCTGTTTATAGTTCTCCACAGAAGGTGTGTAAATACTAGATGATCTTCATCAAGATCTGTGTTTGCAGATGGGAGGAGGAAGCTGTGATTTTTGGGATGCTTCTAACAAATAAAAGTATTATCTACTATGAAGCAGATTATGAACTGACTTTCTTGACTTTAAACACGTGATATGTTGTTCAGTAACTTTATTTTTCACTGTGTTGCAATATTGTAGTTCTGAATTAATAAAAAACAAAACAAACAAACAAAAAACCTCCTCAAAAAGCCACACCAAGAAAACATGTTCAGCAAAGAAAATCCACTGTAGAATCTGCTAGTATTTTACCCTTCTCCATGCTGATGTTTCATTCTTAGACAGCTGATGAGTTGTGTAACTCAGTCAATGGTGTTTTAGTAGTCTTTTTGGAAGCTATTCAGCAAAGGAGGGAGGTTCTATGATGTGTATTCCAAAGAAGAGAAAAATGTGTCTTTCAGGTGATTCTTTGTTTCCGAAGTTACTAAAATTTTGCAGTAATCAATATTTAACTCCGCCAGACTTAAATAGCTTTTTGTACTCTGAAATGTGTTACTGAGTTTAAATGTGTTTTGGAGTTTGTTTCCTATGGTAGATTGCTGAACTAAGTAGTATAATTGTGGTTCCAAAAACTATGAAGTCACAAATTGATGTCATGTATCCTTACCCTGTTTATAAACAAGTTTTTCTCTCTAGATTCTAGAATGAAGCTTCACAGCATGAAAATTATAAAATAACCACAATGCAGAAGTCTTTCTTGTCCTCTTCAGTAGCATTTATGATACTGGATAGATTTTCTGCTTTTTATTACAAGTAAATTATTTCAGCTAAGTATTAGAGATAAGTTATTCAAGGAACTAAAAGCCAGAAGACATGGTACCTCTACGAAATTGCTGTTGATCACTTAATGTGTTTGTGGGCTGTGTGAAATACAGATATATTACCCTGACTGACTAGAAGAATGGGCTGCAAGGATTTTCTGATTAGGAATTTCCATGTGTGGTGTATGAGCATCTCATTTTTCTTTTGGCGTTTCCTAATTCATCATCATCACCATAATTACATTTTCACGCCAATAAAATTGTCCGTAAAAGAACCTTCGTACTAAAAAGAGCCCTGTTTTCAGCCTGGACTTAATTTAAAGTACTAGGCCCTTTAAGAATAATAAAAAGAAAATCCTGGGCTGACTTGTGCATTTCTGCTCTCATTTAAGACCTGGTTCTCAGTCTGGTATTCAACTTAGTTGTAACTGCTGGTGATTGAGCACAGAAGTGCTACCTGGGAACAGGTATGGTAGAAACTGTGTTGGATTGTCCAGTGCCCAATACAGAAGTGGCCCCAAAAGCTGCCCTGAATGATTTTATCTTCCCCCCTTCTTTTGTTGTACATATATTATAATCTGCCTTGAATTCTGGTTTCACTGCAAGGAGAAGAATTTACCTCAGACTGATGTGTGAAAGATGATTCAAAGTAGAATTGGGCTTAAGGTTCAGAGGGGGAAGGGCCAGTTCAGGACAAGTATGAAATGAACTCTATATTATAGGCAGGTGAAGACAAACACAGATTAAGCTGATCCTTCTTGCATCTTTAGAGATTTCTTTCTCTTTTTAAAGATGATTGTATGGTTAAGACTGAAGACTGAGTCATACAATCTAATTCTTTGGTTGTATATTTGCCATGTGTAAGATGTAAGAAATGTAAGGCAATATGGAAGGTAATGGTGAGGGTGGGAGAGAGGTTTGCCGTGAGTAAGATTTGTCTGTCTCAGAAATGTAAGGCAATATGGAAGGTAATGGTGAGGGTGGGAGAGAGAAAAGAATCAGCCCCAGCTCTTTTACAAGTATATCATAACCTGCCCCATCTGCTGAACAATTTCCTCCTAACCTTTCCTGCATTTGGAACTGCCAGTTCAGCCCATGTAGTTGGGTGGATAGTAGCTTATATTTGATGTTTCTTTTTAGCAACATTTGCCTAACACTGGCTGTATGAGTACTGTCCTCAGCCCCACTGTGAGAGCTACACTAAAATGAGTAGCCGTGGGAAACTTCTGAGAACATTACAAGTGGATTTGAGGTAAAAAAAATACTACAAGTAATAGTTTGGGAAAACACAGGGACTGGAGAAATCTAAGGTAAGATGAAAGACACATGAAAAAAAAACCCAAGTATTTCCTGCTTCCATTGGCACCCAGAGTGATGGAAATAGCTTAGTTTTGTTTTAAAATAATATATGGTTATTTTAGGATAGAAATTACCTTTTTCGACAAGAAGTGGAAGCAAAAATGAGGAATAAGTTCCTGTCAGATAAGTGTTTTGTTTTTATTAGTGGAGATTTGGGACTAGCTTTGTAATTCTCCAGTAATTGCTTTGCAAGCCTCTTGAAAGAAAACAAGGTAGTTGAAAGCTAAATCATAGACTGTTTTGAAAGAGGAAAGGAGCTTAACTTTTCTGCAGAGAAATGTGTAAGCCAAAATTAGGTAGTAGAGAGGAAAGATGGAATTGAAACCCAGAATTTTTGGTTGGTTAATAGAGTGGAGTGATGAGAGCTGGAGGGAGAGGTACATGCTATCAAGTACATGACACAATTACCAAGCTGGACTAAACAATAAGTAGTTTCTGTATTTTTTCTTGTATCACAAAAATGTCTCTTAATTTTTCTCTTCAGCTAATACAGCTCATGGACATAGTAGGATTTAAAAAAGCCTACAGTTTAGGCATTACATAGATATACATATTTCTGAAGTAGGTGTTTTCAATGAGTGTACAAAGCGTGAGTGTGGATTTAGAGCTCTAACACTTGAGTATCTCCTTTTGTGGCTTTTATTGCCTGGCATAAAAGAATGATTCACTAATTTCCTCTTTCTTCTCATTGTCTTTTGGGAATGACAAAGGAGTCAGGTCTTTGCTGTGGTTCTTAACTGCTGTGTATTTGATGAAAATAATTGGCCAAGGGAAACATTTTTCATAGAACTGTGGAGCTGTGTAGGACTCTGTGACTTATCTTTGCTTACCTGTGGGGAGAGAGGTCAATGTTTATGATCAAAGAGGAGGTACCCATTTTGACACCGCATAAACAGAAGTTGGTAGTCTTCTGTTATAGCTGTGTGTTTTCAATAGCTACTGCAGAGTTGGCTGTTAAGAGTAGCTGAAGATAAGAGCAAAAGTCATCAGTTCAAAGTTCAGAAGAGATCATTAATTTCAAGGACAGAAATAGCTGAATTTGTTAGCCACTGCTCTTTGCCAGGATCACTTCACTTGTATTGACAATTAATCTTGCATCGCAAGTGAATTAGATAAAGCCAGTTACTGGGTGTCACGTTTCCTATCTCAGTCTATATGCTTGTTTGGCATGGCTGCCCACTGAAAATATAAAGCTGCTGTTGTAGCATGCAGTTTTATCAAACAAAATGGCAAGTTTTGTAAACTTTTAGCAACTATTCAGTACTGAATTAATTTTTCATTAAAATGTTAGTAAACAGTTTTTACATAATTTTGCATGGATTCCACTTTCCTTCAGAGTATGAGAAGAATTTTCTAATGAGGGTTTGAATGAGTTCAACCAACTTTCAAGGCCAGTTAGACTTCTTCAGAAGCTGTGGATAAAATCTCATTAAGTTCTCTCTGCCTTTTGCCTATGTTTCAGACACAGGCTGAAGCTTCTAGTGCTCCTGGTGTGTTAAAAGTGTGCAGAATCAGCTTTTTTCCCCTTTTTTTGGGTTTGTATTTCTGCCTATGCTCATAGAAAAACAAATGAAGAGCTTTTACTCCCTGTGAATTTGGAAAATGTGGTTGAATTGACCCTGGGTTTGGAAGACAATAATAGTTCCTGTTCTTGTTGTTCTTGTCAATAGACCTAGTTCTGAATAGTGTGTTGCTACCATGTGTAAGTCTTAAGTGATGATATTGGATGCATTTATTACGTACAAAAGTTCAAAAATTTTCATTATTTTACAGTAGTCTGTCAGAGTTGCATGGCTGTTTCCCCCCCACTACAAGTGTTTATGTTTAGTTAGAGGAAAACCTGGAAATAATAATATAAAAAATGGCACAATATATATAATCTTAGAGTAGGACAAACTTTTTTTTTTGTATAGGATGAATATTTTTTTCCCAGTTGAAAAATCTGTCTGCATATGGTTCTCAACAGAAGAGATTTTTGTTATATAGGTAGAACGGTGCTTTTTCCATTTCATGTAAGTTTTCAGTACTGTAAGACTGGTTACTTGATTATTTTGTCATCTTTTAGTGTTACCTTAGGTCTTTTAGCATGTGTATCTAAATCTTACTTGGCCAAGCAAGTTTTAAGCTCTATCTGATGAATGATGAGTGCAAAAGGAAATAGCAGTCCTCCCAAATTTCCTAAGCAATTCTCAAATAAAACTAAGTTCACTTAAGAGAGGAGAAAGTGAGCTTGACTGTTCACAGCAGCTTTTTATGTGTGTTTAAACAAGTAGTGCTTTAATTTCTGCTAAGAATTTCTGAAATAATACAGTCATCTCTTCAGACTGATGAATAGCAGTAGATTAAATAAGTAGTCTTGTGCTCAATGGGGTACAGTTTAAATAGAGAAAATCTAATGGGAAGTAGTTATATTAGTAGCAGATGGATTTGCTTTCTGAATCTTGATCTGAGTAGAAATCCTTGCATACTTAAAATTTGTCTTCCAGATTCTTAGCCTGATAAGAAAGGTGGATAAAGCAATTTCTTTTTTTTTAACTTGGCTTCAGCTGCTGTGGTGATGTGTTTTGTTTAGACTTGCTATTGTTTGATTTTTATCTAGGCTATTTTTATGATTCCTACAAATCCCCCTCCAACCTTCCGGAAGCCAGAGCTCTGGTCTGATGAATTCACAGATTTTGTGAAGAAATGCTTAGTGAAAAATCCTGAACAAAGAGCTACAGCAACTCAGCTGCTACAGGTCAGTATTTAAGTTACTGAGGAAAAGCACATTTTATGTTTGGGGTTTTTTTCCCCCTCAAACCCAAAATGTTCTGAAAATTTGTAAAGGAAAATCTTACTTTAACTGTTATTATGCCTTATTTCTTTTTTGTTTTGTAGTCTTTTCTCTGTCAGCTCCTGTATCTCTACCCCCATTTTATTTCTCTTCTTGATGCTTCTAAAAATTCATTGCTCATTAAATAGTTTAGGGCTGGTTCTTGCTATTAATATTGGATCCTTGCTTTGTAATGAGAGGCCCTCAGTAGATCTCAGGATTTAGACAACTGTTTAGTAACAGAACTGAGCCCATGTTACCCCTTTGTGCGGACCATGCATGGGGTATATTCATTCTTTCCTTCTGATCATGTCAGGTCGGGCAGGCAGGTGGCTCTGTGTCCTGGAAAGGTCTAGTGCAGATGGGCAGTATCATGAGTTCGTTCCTGGGCTAAGTTCATCCAAGTGGGCACTTCCCCGTGTGAGCCACAGTTGGCAGTGTGGACCTTTGGAGCAGGGCAGGGTATGCCAGGCTCTTGCTTCCTGTATTACTCTCCTGCTAGATTTATTCTGTGTTGAGCTAGCAATAGCAGCTATTAAATTTTAAGCTCCAGTGAACTCCACTACAAAGAGAACAAAAATTTTGCAAAGTAGTTTTTGGTAATAAATCTGTCAATTTGGTAGATCATGATATGAATATTTAATGTTATACATTGCAAAGTACGAAAATGTAGACCACAAGGTAAGAAAAAATTGAAAGTTATAAGTGTCTGTGTGATATGTGAACCTTGAGACCTCCAGGATTTGAAGTTTGTATGCTTAGCTGAATACTGATAGCTAGATAGAAGAGACTTGCATTAACATGGACAAGTAAAGAGAAACCAACAAGAAAAAAAACTTAAGTGTAAAGTTTCTTTCCCATGCTTACTGACCAGAAAATCAGATGCAATGTTTGTTCATCAGGAGTATGTGTTGTCTTTTTCCCCAGCTGGAGTTTGAAGCATATGTGATAGAGCTGGAGGAGCTGTCAAAATGTTTGACTAGAAATGAAAGTACTGCTGATGAGGAGAGGTTATGGAATGAAAGAGAGAGTAATTGAATTAATATATAATGGGAGGAGATAGATAATGTAGTGCATGAGGCTTCATTAGTTATGTTCTTCATGGAACAGTTTTAAATATTTAATAATATTTTTCTGAGGTGCTTAGTTATGTTTTGCCTAAATTGTACTTGCGTGTAATGATGCAAAAAATCAGATTTTTTTCTAACAGCAGGTGTTTATTAGGCAGTAAAATGTGCAAATGGTATAATGCATGTTGTCTTAAATGAAGAAGTAATGTTTTAATTTACCTTGAATTAAAAATGAAACTTCCTGCTAAAAGGGTTTTTTTACTGGTTCCACTGTTCAGCATCATAGATCAAGAAATACTTTATGACATTTAAAGTATAGGTTTGTTGAAGTAAGCAGCCACAGATACTCTGGTTAGAGCCATTAATTTATGCTCTCAATTTGTTAAGATTAATTAAATTATGAAACTGAATATCTGAAAAAGTTTGATTTTCTATGTCAGATCATCACCACTCTATTTACAACTTTCTGCATTATTTCTTTGGAAAATTGTATCCTTAATCATGAAACAGTTATTAAGTGATGACATTTCCCAAGCTTGCAGTTATTAAAAATAGTTAAAGTAAAATTTTGGTTCCGAAGCGACTGAAAGATACTGTACGTTGTGTTGGTTATTGTGTAATGCACGATACTCTTTATCACTGAAATCTGTGATGTTGAATAGGACTTGTAATTAAATCTGAAGCACAACTGCTTTAATGATATTACATATTTCAATGATTTTTTTCCCCCTAGCATACATTTATTAAGAATGCTAAGCCAGTTTCAATTTTAAGGGACCTGATCACCGAAGCAATGGAGATAAAGGCAAAGCGACATGAGGAACAGCAGAGAGAACTAGAAGAGGAGGAAGAAAATTCGGTGTGTACCCATTTTTCCTATACTTTATGAATAAGTTGCTGGTTTTCCCCACCTTCCTGTGTTTGTGTTCAAATGCTTTTTTTTTTTTTACCTGTTTTCTTTGTAGTTTTAAGCCTATGAATTTTGATTATTCCACTCTTCAATTATGAGTAATGCTGTATAAGCCAGCTTTCAGTACTATTCCATGAAATGTCTTAGTAAAAAGCTTTTCTAGGAAGTGGGAAGAGAAAACATGTCAACTTCAGCTATTCAGATTAACACTAAAACCCCCAAAATTGTTTAAGATTCTGATTTCACAGGTGGACTTCTAGACGAGTGGTTTAGTTTTTGGTTCAGGGCACTTTGCTTGGTGTTTGGGTTTTTCCGTTTAAGTCTAATGCACAGAATAGTTAATGATGACACTCAGTAAGCAGTGATTATTGCAGTGTGGTTTAAACAAGTAACATGAAAATGGTGATGGCACTTCATTCTTCAGATGATATTGTCAGCATATGTTTGAGGACAGAAGCAGGTTGTGTGATAAGTAGGTTGAATTTAGAATTGTTTGGCAGTGTTAAGAATAAGCCTGTGTTCCTGGCATTTTTGCTCTTCCCTACATAATTTATTTCAGGTTAGTCTTGTGCAGTGCAGCAGAATGTGCTTCAAAGAAGTGTCTTGCCATACATACAATGTGTGGTCATTCAGAAAGAGCACAAAGAGAAGATGAAGACTGGAATGTTACAGCTTTGAGCAAACAGAAAAGAGCAGTGCAGTAAATGCAGTTTGTCCTATAGCAAATTGTAGAATCCTTGTTACAGAGTGCTATGTGATGATCTATATATAGGAATACTTTTCAAGCAGATTCTGTGCAATCTTTTGTATCTCCAATAATCAGTGTGCATGGCTGCAGTTTTTTTATATTCTAAGAGTGTGTTCTAAGAATATTGATAGCTTCTTTTTTAATAAAGGTGGTTTACTCTGAATTGCATTTGCTTACTCAGTAATAAACAGGCAGGGAAAACTAAGATGATTTTTTTAGCGTTAGGAAATTTTCCTTTGTGTGACTTGATGTGCAGAGTTGATGTTTGTGACTTGACTTATTGAATAGTTGATTTTTGAAGATACTGATTTATTACTGACGTAAAAATCTGATACCTTTACTAGCTTGCTTTCATCCGTACTATTGCCTTCTGAACTGGAGATGTTAAATGCTTGGGCAATGTTGATGTCTTTTGCATTAACCCAAAATTAGGCATGACATCTGATTACTTAGTCTGAGGTTCAGGTCACAGTGCCAGGCACAGTCTATGCCAGCTAAGGATGTGGTGTAAACCTCCCTCTCCCACTACTGCATGGAAGGGTGTAACACAAGTTTGGTTCACCTCAACTGAGGCAGCATTTAGCAACTCCTGATGGTTCTTGCATGGGTACAGAAGTCAGAACCTAACACTGCACTCCCCACTCTGCCACCCCCTAGGCTCCTTCCCTCCATCCTTCCCCTAGTTTAGTGTTCAGTATCAGAGAGCCTCAAATCCAGGATTGAGGCAGCAATCTGTTACTTGTGTTACCATTGTAGTAGTTGGGAATTCTGCCATGAGCTTTTGTGGTGCTGTAAGGGAACAAGTTTTGAGTAAAAAAGACAGCAAGAGTCTGCTTGTCACTAAGTACAGAAGATAAGTGCCTCAAATCTGAAAGTAACAGGATATCTTTGATTAACAGGGTTGAGAAAACAGAATCACAGAGTGGTTGAGATTGGCAGGTACCTGCAGAGGTCATCTTGTCCAATCCCCCTACTTAAGCAGGGCCACTGAGGTTTGGCTGCCTGGGACCATGTCCAGACAGCTTTTGAATATCTCCAAGGAAGGAAACTCCACAACCTCCCTGTGTAGCTTCTGCCAATGCTCCATCATCCTCATGGTACAAAAAGTGTTTCCTGATGTTCACAGGAAACCTGCTTTTCATTACATGCTCATTGCCTCTGCTCCTGTCACTGGGCACCACTGAAAAGAGCCTGACTTCATCCTCTTTGCACCTTCCCTTCAGATATTTATACATACTGATGAAGTCCCCTAGAGCTTTGTGTTCTCAAGGTTGAGTAGTTCCAGCTCTCAGCCTTTCCTCCTGGGAGAGATGTTCCAGTCCCTTGATCGTCTTTGTGGCCCTTTGTTAACTCTCTGTGGTGTGTCCATGTCTCTCATACTGAGGAGCCCAGAAGTGGACCCAGCACTCCAGGTGTGGTGCCAGCAGTGTGGAGCAGAGGGAACGGATCGCTCGCCACCTTACACCTCCTGGCAACTTTGTCTAATGCAGTGCCTAGTTTGTGTAATTAGCCACTTTTGTTAAAAGCTTGGTTTGCTCTTAAAAATGAGTGCTCTTGTAGTATATGGAAATGCTGATCTGTCATTTTTTTACTTACACTAGTAGAATTTCAGGGGCTATAAACCATATAGCAGTGCATGAGCAGCAACAAACCCAGAACCAGAAGTCAACCTCTGCTTGAAGAAATTGCTCTTCAATATAAGGCAGAAGGTCAGAGCAGTTGGCAGCTCAGCATTTGTTCAATTTTTTTCTGTGATCATGATGTAGAGGAGTTCTAAAGGCCAGCCTTGCAGAGGGCTAGAGGCAGCCCTGCCTGTAGTTGCACAGGATGTGAGAAAAGAGTAAAGGTTTGAAAACTTCACAGGTAAGGAAAGAGGCAAATTTGAGGCAGAGCTGACTTCTCAGTACTAAATAGTGACAGAACAGGAGAAAGCCATGAAAATGTGGGCTTGTGAATGAGACTAGTTAGTTCAGAAAAGAAAGGTAGTAGACAAATAGAAAGAAGAGCATGACTTCAGCACAGTGAAAGACAGGGAGAAATTGGAAATTGAAGCTTTGTAGTATTCCCTTCAGTGTAGGGGTCACTGGATGAGACTTTAAGATGACAAAGTCTGGGTAAAAACTTTAGCAATATGTTCTTTCAGAATGCTTTTGTCATCTTTTATTATATGATGTTGTGTACTCCTTTTTATTTTTCACTGCGGATGTTGACTTCCAGGCTGTAATTGTTTAACTAATATTAATAATTAGCACCAAATGATTTTTACAAGGCCTGTCAAGAGACATGCAAGAATATCTTGTAATGGACAAGAGGATGTCCAGGTGTTTTTGCTGTAAAGTTTATATTGAAGAATTAAACATTTTCAAAAGCTTCCCATTATAAAAAGATCAAGAAAAAGAAGATTTTTGTATCTTCTATAAAAAATAATTTTGTGTTTTTTTTATGCTGTTGAGATTTTTTTTAGTTCCCTAAGTTTTCACACAGTTTTATGGTTCAAGAAAATGATATGTGATAAGATTTGTAGTTAGGATGAAATACTTAACAGTTATTAAATCTGGTGGTATTTGGTAAAGTGTGACTTTTGCTGTCAGTAAATATATGTCCAATAATTTTGTGTTGCTTGGTAAGCCTTGAGTGAAAAAAGTTTTGAAATACTTAGCTTTAATAGAAAAAGGAAGGGTACAAGTGTTTGAAATGAAGAATATTGATGGTGAGGTGAGGAGGAATTTCCTTGATGACAAAAACAGTTTCTGGAGTGATCTCTGAATATCTTTTGTGTATCACAATGCTGAACAAATTTTGTTCTGAGCTGGTTCAGTTATAATACAGACTTTCTATATCTTGCAGCAGTTTCAGTGCAGTACATCACTGTAAGAAATTCAGATTCATTTGAGAGATAACACCAGAATCTTGTCCAGTTGCTGTCACCAAAGGTTCTGATCAGCCAGAAGTGCAAACTCCTCCAAACTAGGAAACAGCAGCATGAACTTGTACCAGTGCCTAGGGGGGCCTACAAGAAAGCTGGAGGACTTTTTCCAAGGGCATGTACTATAGGGGTGATGGCTTTTTTCTGAAGGAAGGTAGATTGAGATTAGATATTAGGAGGAATTCTTTGTGGAGAGGGTGTGGTAACACTAGTACAGGTTGTTCAGAGAAGCTGTGGATGCCCTATTCCTCAAGTGTTGTAGGTCAGGTTGGATGGGACTTAAAGCAATCTGATCTAGGTGAAGATGTCCCTGCCCATGTGGTACCAGATGGTCTTTAATGTCCCTTCCAATCCAAAACATTCTGTGATTCTTTGACACTGTTACCATTTTCTTTTCAATTAATTTCATTATCTGTAAGGTGTTTCTTGAATGCACATTGTTCACGTACTGCATAGTGGAAGACTCCTGAACAACATGATAGGTGTGAGGCCTACACTAAGTGGTATTCGGATTTTAGTTTTGTAAGCATACTAGGCAGAGGTTAATCAATGGACCCACAAGTTATTAGAGGAAACCAGGATAAAAATCTGGAAGAATAAAATGAAAGCATTACAGTATTTGTGTTTGTCATTTTAGAAAAAGCAGCAATCAATCCCCCAACCCCACACTTCACTTCAAAATAATTTGAAGTGAATAATAATTTGACAATAATGTGTCTTTAATTTAAGTTGGAACTTGTTTGTGGAACTGCCAGAAAAAGAGTAAACCAATTCTTTCTGCACTTCTGAGTGTTTATTATTTTCCTTTTAGAAAGGGAAAGCAGGTAATACAAGTACCAGTTTGGTATAATTGGTATACAGTTTGGTAGTGGATGAAGTCAGCAGTCCAGCATTCAGAGATAAACATAAATAACCCTTGCACATTCCTCTTCCTTATATATCAGTTTCACAGAATCCCATAAGAAATACAGGGCTGCTTGTATGTAGTTTATAGGACTACATGGTCCTGTAGTTCAAATGATTATACAGGTCTTGATAAGTCTTCAGTGGTGGCAACAATCCTAGAAAGAGCTAACGACAGTCCCTGTGTTGTAGTAGTAGTGATAATAAATAATGCATGTATTTCTTAATATTTTAATGTATATATATAAATGGTTGTAGATTGTGTCTAGAATTGGAGTCACTGTTCAGTTGCAAAGTAATAGCCACCTGGCACTTCAATTTTGAAAAAGAACACATGAAAAATGGATTTTTTCCCAATCATACTTCTGTAAA